GATCGCTAAGATCCAACAAACGGAGGATCAGGTAGTACGGCCAAAGAACAACAGATCCTTATCAGCAGGATCCAAGATTTAGAGGACAACAAAACAGTCCTTGAAAACATCTGCCAGTACTTAAAAAAAAAAAAAAGACCGGCAGACGGAGATGGACAAAAATGAGGCATAAGCTGCAGGACAAGGAGATAAAGAAATAGGAGAGAGAAGAAAAAGCAGACCATCCAGGACGTCAACATCAACGTGCCTGAGACTGGACACCTGTAAGAACACCTTCCTTCACCTCCCACTCCATCCTACCTCATCCATCTACCCTGAAAAAAAAAAAAAAAGATCTTAAAAAAAAAAAAGAGATCTTAAAAAGAAAGATCAAAAAAAAAAAAGATCCCAGAGGGATTCTTTGGCTGCTCAGTTTTTTTTACAACCTACTCAGGTTGGCACATTTCCTTTACCTCAGTTCTGCCTCATTTTGATTTTATGTCCAATAATTTAAAATATTGGTTTGGTAATTTTAATTTGTTAGTGGGCGGCTTTATGTAACTGTACTGTCAATTTATATTGCACACATTTCATTTCATTTTTTTTTTACAACCTGCCAAGAGGTTACCCACCACGAGATGGTCACAAGCAGTGGTTTCACTGCGTTGTGCCTGATCGCTAAGATCCAACAAACGGAGGATACCATCCCCAAAGAACAACAGATCCTTATCAGCAGGATCCAAGAATTAGAGGACAACAAAACAGTCCTTGAAAACATCTGCCAGTACTTAAAAAAAAAAAAAAAGACCGGCAGACAAAGATGGACAAAATGAGGCATAAGCTGCAGGACAAGGAGATAAAGAAATAGGAGAGAGAAGAAAAAGCAGACGATCCAGGACGTCAACATCAACGTGCCTGAGACTGGACACCTGTAAGAACACCTTCCTTCACCTCCCACTCAATCCTACCTCATCCATCTACCCTGAAAAAAACTAAAAAAAGATCCAAAAAAAAAAAAGAGATCTGAAAAAAAAGAGATCTAAATAAGAAAGATCTAAAAAAAAAAAATAAAAAAAAAATACCATCCCCAAAGAACAACAGATCCTTATCACCAGGATCCAAGAATTAGAGGACAACAAAACGGTCCTTGAAAACATCTGCCTGTACTTAAAAAAAAAAAAAAAAGACCGGCAGACAGAGATGGACAAAAATGAGGCATAAGCTGCAGGACAAGGAGATAAAGAAATAGGAGAGAGAAGAAAAAGCAGACCATCCAGGACGTCAACATCAACGTGCCTGAGGCTGGACACCTGTAAGAACACCTTCCTTCACCTCCCACTCCATCCTACCTCATCCATCTACCCTGAAAAAAACTAAAAAAAGATCTAAAAAAAAAAAAAGAGATCTGAAAAAAAGAGATCTAAAAAAGAAAGATCTAAAAAAAAAAAAAGATCCCAGAGGGATTCTCTGGCTGCTTATTTTTTTTACAACCTAATCAGGTTTGCACATTTCCCTTACCTGATTTCTGCCTTATTTTTATTTCATGTACATTTATTTAAATATTGTTTTGTTATTTTTTATTTTTTAATTGGTCGGCTTTAATTAACTGTACTGTTAATTTATATTGCACACATTTCATTTCATTTTTTTTTTACAACCTGCCAAGAGGTTACCCACCACGAGATGGTCACAAGCAGTGGTTTCACTGCGTTGTGCCTGATCGCTAAGATCCAACAAACGGAGGATACCATCCCCAAAGAACAACAGATCCTTATCAGCAGGATCCAAGAATTAGAGGACAACAAAACAGTCCTTAAAAACATCTGCCTGTGCTTAAAAAAAAAAAAAAGGCCGGCAGACGGAGATGGACAAAATGAGGCATAAGATGCAGGACAAGGAGATAAAGAAATAGGAGAGAGAAGAAAAAGCAGACCATCCAGGACGTCAACATCAACGTGCCTGAGACTGGACACCTATAAGAACACCTTCCTTCACCTCCCACTCCATCCTACCTCATCCATCTACCCTGAAAAAAACTAAAAAAAGATCTAAAAAAAAAAAAAAGAGATCTGAAAAAAAAGAGATCTAAAAAAGAAAGATCTAAAAAGAAAAAAAGATCCCAGAGGGATTCTCTGGCTGCTTATTTTTTTTACAACCTGCTCAGTCTTGCACATTTCCCATACCTCATTTCTGCCTTATTTTTATTTCATGTACATTTATTTAAATATTGTTTTGTTATTTTTTATTTTGTAATTGGTTGGCTTTAATTAACTGTACTGTTAATTTATATTGCACACATTTCATTTCATTTTTTTTTTTACAACCTGCTCGGTTTTGCACATTTCCGCTTACCTCATTTGTGCCTTCTTTTTATTTCATGTACATTTAAGTAAATATTGTATTTTTATTTTTGTTTTTATTTTAAAATTGGTCGGCTTTATAGAAAAGGCGAGCACCACGAGCTGGTCACAAGCAGTGGTTTCACTGAGTTGTGCCTGATCTCTAAGATCCAACAAATGGAGGATACCATCCCCAGGGACCTCCCACTCCATCCTACCTCATCCTTCTCAAATAACAATAAAGGAAATGTTTACCCCAATCTGCTGTCTACTGGTTATCACTAGATTGTACTTACAGACCAACTTATTTTACTGTTTACTACAGTGATTCACTTATTTTCACTTATTACACATGTAGACATTAGTAATTGAAATATATTAACTTGGCTGTTGTTGTTGTTCCTGTTTATGTTGCTGCTGCTTTTCCATGATGTTGAGTACAATCTTCTCAATAGAAGCTTGTGTCAGCATCTGAACAGGTGGAGGTGGGTGAACAATTGCAACAGACATCGTAACAACTGGCACACTAGTGGTCTCACTCACCTCTGTCAGAGAGTTTCTGCCTCTCTTGCAGTTTTTCTGGACTGACGTTTAAAGAGGAACTGGTGTTCAACAATTTGCTGAGGTGCTTTACATATTGTAGAACATGTAGTTTTGTTGTTGGGTGGAGCATGCTGTTGGGGTCTGTACAGGAGTTGTGAACTAGAGCAGCGTAGTCCTGGTCCACAAGCTTCAGTGTGTCTTTCTGCTCATGGGTTTTGTTGAGCAGCTGGTTGATAACTGCCAGCGACGGCGGACGTAGAGTTTCTACAGGAACAAAAGACGGAGTATAATAAGTCATTCTGACCTATAGAATCAAATACTTGTATAATAAATATAAACTTTCATTAAAATCTCATGAAAGACTGGTATTTGTATGTGAATGTTTATTCAATAACACCCTTAATACATTTTCACATCTTGTAAAAAAATCGAAAAGTGACACAAAGGTATGGAGCAAACTGGAACAACCTTGATGGTGCCAGTGAGGATGACAGAGGAACCTCCGACTAGGTAGCGAGTGGATCACTTTGAGGAGGTGGATTCGGGGCCTGGGTGTGATCTGTCTTGCTGTTCTGCTTGTCCCAGTCCAGAGGAACTGAGCAAAGGAACTGTACAGGGCGTGATGCTCCGACACACACTCACGGAGGAACCGCCTCATGCAGTGAAACAAGTCCAGCTTGATATTAATGTTGTCTTGATGTGATGTGATCTTGTGATCTTGAAGCACATGTGTTTCGGAGGTTACCAGAAGTGACATCGGCAATCTGTTGTTCTCCAAGAATCCCATTTCAGATGTTCTCCTGCAGACGATTCTGCCACCTTGAGTGCAACACAGCAATCCCTAAAAGAAAAAATAAAAGGAAAGCCATCAATGTGACAGCAGTCATATAGACCACCATGTGTGCTCCAGTGGATATGGTCATCAAAATAAAATTGAATGCAAAGGGCGTTTCTTTAATGAAACTGAAAAAAATGAAAAGTAATCTAAGTTGTGACTATGAGCTGTTTGTGTCACCAATGATGGTCAAAAATATTGATATTATTTACCTGTCTACCCACTGTTATTGTGCCTTTTCTATGCCTGCAGCGCTGTAGCGCTGTGCCAGTCCCTCGTACATCGGCTTCAGGGACTTAGCATCAAAATGAACTTTAATGAAAGATTAAAACTAGTTGTGATGCCAAATATATCATATATTATCCTAATCATTGAGGCATTAATGTGTTTATATTTGACTGACATTAAACAATTCTGGTGGTTTAATCTATTACAAGATCCTCATTTATTAGTTGAGTAACATCTGTGATGTGCAACTAGTAATTAATGCAGTCAAACACACGTGAACACAACTATAAACTAACATGTGGCGTGACAGAAACAGAAATGCATTTATAGACACAACACTTGTACTAAAGTACAGTATTTATGGCTAACAACGTTTATAGTTTACTATTCTCTCAGTACGTACATAATATGTATACAGAATATAATGTAATATACAATATATTATTAGCATAATAAATATACAGGGTATAGTGTAACATATACTATATTGTTAGTATTTACAGCTAAAGACATGTATAGCTGGCTGTTCTCTGAGTACGTTTACAGTATATAATGTTAAAACAGTGTAAGATGAACAGATAATGAGAATCTGTGTTAAATGACGTACAACAGCAAACGCTGCATATTTATCTGAATAATTATTACACAACAGACTAGTGTATTTTTAACGATTTCGTGTAGTCATCTTTTTTAAGGATTTAGTGTTGGCTGATTTAAACTCCCAAACAGAAGGCGGCAGAAATGCTCAAATCAGCTACACGTGAATACCAGGATAACACTAGAAGAAGAACAGCTTTCGTGACGTCAGTGGCCCGCCTCCGCCGAGGAAGCCGCTGCATGTAAACAAAGAAGCAACAGCAGTTTCGATGGAGCCAACCGCAGTTCAATAAATGAGACATTGAACAGGGTTCGCTTTGTTCGATCTGAAGCTGAAAGTCTGTGTGTGTGTGATGGGGCTCCGCTCCGACTGAACCGGAACCAGCAACATGTCTATGGAAGATCCATTCTTCGTCGTCAAAGGGTCAGAGCAGTTTTTACGCTAACCACGCTAATGCTAACAGCAGGCCAGTAGCTATTGTTAGTCTGCCGAGACTCGCTAGCAAACCACAGGGACTGAAACCTAATTAACTTTATTACTTAGAAGCACGCAGAATAAACCATAGCCGACGCCTAACGCTGGCTTTCAGTGTGCTGTGAGTTGGCCTGTTAGCATGTTGCTGTGCTGTTAGTGGAGCTAGTGTTGATAATCAGTTTGTCAGTATACAATTAATTTCAAAACACTATTAAAGGTGTCAATCGAATTAATTATATGAATCTTAAGGAACGTATCAGCTCAAATGTTTCATGTTTATTCTTTATTCTTAGTTTACTTTACTTTAAGATTCCTGAATCATTAATTCAAGCAACAGTTTCTCTTCTAAAAAAATCTGGTTTGTGTTTTATAGTAACGTGTTTCTGTACCAATATCTTGTACCTGTTTAACATGAACTCAAACGGCTGGATCGCGTATTGTTGACTAGTCTGATCTGAGATCAGTTACCATCAGTGTGTCCCATGAACTACTGAGACTGTGGCGGCCCACTATGCCGTTGCTGGTGACGGTGAATTCATTATATCGACTTTTAAATGCTTATCATCCAGCCCATATTTTACTTAATCATACATTTTCAAATTAACAATCTGAATAATTAAAGAAGCCTCCCTTCTACTAACCAGTATTGTCAAATTCATAATTGTTACAGACATGACAACTCCCTCAGATGTATTATTAGTTTAAAAGTCAGGGAAGCATTGTTTGTTTGGTCTGATTGTATCTTACATTATATTACAGGTCATTTAGCAGACGCTTTTATCCAAAGCGCCTTACATTACACTTTAAACCCATGGCCTTTTCACATTTAGCCCAGGGAGCAATTAGGGGTTAGGTGTCTTGCTCAGGAACACTTCAACTTGAGACATGGGGCAGCCGGGACTCAGACCACCAACCTTGCGGTTCCCAGCGCACCCGCTCTACCCCCTGCGCCACGACGACCCCATATTCTTACATATTGGAAGAAGGGTGCTAGTCCCTTCCACACATGGAGGTGTGCTGTGTATTGATCAGACACTGGTGGCGGATCGGTATCCAGCCAGAGTGTTGTTATTGTCTGATTGCCGCATCCTGATGTTAGTACGGCACTGAAGGCAACGCAGAGTCACCATCACTGATGCGTTATGTTTGTTTGTTACAGTGAGGTGCAGAAGGCTGTCAACGCAGCACAGAGCCTCCATCACAGATGGAGCGAGCTGTTGCAGGAGGGGGGCGGGGCCTCCAAGGAGGAAATGGACTGGACGACCAATGAACTGAGGAACAGTCTGCGCTCCATCGAGTGGGACCTGGAGGACCTCGACGAGACAATCAATATCCTTGAAACACAGAAGTGTTCTTTTTTGTTTGCTTATTGTGAGCTCAGCCATTTTAAGTGTGAACCTTTTCAGATAAACATGCCTCTTAACTCTCAGTGAACGCATTGTTGAGTCCAACCCAAAGAAGTTCAACCTGGATGCAGCCGAGCTGTCCAAGAGGAAAGCATTCATCACTACCACCAAACAGACTGTAAAGGTACGCTTCACTGAACGCTCACCCTCATCAGTCTGTAGGGACTTGAACTGACTGACTAATGTAGGGCCGCAGCAACGAATCAATGAAATCGCTAAAAATCGATTAGTAAAAGTGTCGGCAGCAAATTTCATTATTGATTTGTTGTGTCGCACGATTATTACGTCACTCAATGAGTTGCGTGCGGAGCAAAAAAAACCAAACAGGTTTAGCGGTTTATGGTTGTGCGTTTTCAGTTTGTCTCACACAGCTGAACCATAATAGCTGATTAGTGGAGTCACATGACGCAGCTATGCCTTCTGTCAACAGACCGACATCCTCTTACCCGTCATCCCCCCGTCACAAAAGTCCGCCCCCTCCCTCCAGTAGTAATTCTACTGATAATAATACTACTACCACTAATATTACTACAAATACTACTCTGACTAATAGTATTAGTGTTATTAGATGATAATACTAGTACTATAACCAACAGTATAACTGCTTCTAGTTTTTCTACTGCTATTGATACTAAAACTACTATTACTTATTCTACTGCTAGTACCACAAGTACAACTATAACTAATGCTACTACTAATATTACTACAAAAAATACAATTTTTTTAAATTCTTCTGAGCGTTTGATATTTCTGTATTTTCAGCAGCTTTTTAATATTCATTTCAGCTCCTGCAAATTTTTTCAGCAAGTCTTTAAAATATTTTTCTGATGTCTGTATTAACAGCAATGTTTTAATATTAATTTCTGTATTTTTTTTTCAATTTGTGCAATTAATTTCAGTTTATCATTTCTGCATTTTCAGCAGATCTATGGAAATTCCCTTCAGCTTCTCCCATTTCTGTATTTTAAGCAATTTTTTCAAATTTATTCCAGCTTTTAGCTTTCAGCCTTCCAACGCATTTTTCTGCAGGAAATGCATTTTCTAGTTACAAATGCCATTTTAATTTCATCTCATAGCACTTGGTTATTTTTTAGCTGTATTTAGATGTGGTGTATACATTTACTTAACTTGCACCACAATGACGGTGATAATTTAATGAATGAGCTTAAACGTTTGTGTGTTTGACTGAAAGTGAGAATGTGTGCGAGTAGTATAGAGAACAAGTTCTGACGTTAAAACCAATCCTGAGGGTTTTTTTCTTTATTTTTTATAAATGATTATTAAGGAGCCACCCGTACTTTCTGAAGTATTTTTGCAATGTGAATTTGCAGTTCTGTGTTAAAATAAAGAGTTGGAAATAAAAGTTTTTTAATGCTTTTTTTTTTAGGCACACACAGGTAATAACCGCTTTGATGTAGTTGCACTTCATGCTAAGTCTTTATTGTGTGATTTATTTGAAACAGTGTGGTTGGATGAAGTATATTATCTGAAGAACCGACTGATGGTCTTTATCTCTCTTGAAGGACATGAAAGAACAGATGTCGAGTCCAACTGCTGCGTCAGTGGACAGAAAGAACACGCAGGTAATGAAACACACATGAAGTACACACAAGTTTCTGTGTTTTAGCCGGGTGCTCAGAGGAGCTTGACAACCCTCTAGCAAAACTCTTCCTACAGATGCCCTTTCCCGAGAACCCTTCAAATCTAAACTTTCCCCCACTCTCTCTCTCTCTCTATATATATATAGATATAATAAGAGTATTGCCAGGTTAAAATGGAGACGGTCCAATAGATTGTTGGACCCTCCTCCTGATGGAAAATGCGTGACGGTTCCTTTTTGTGTTGCTGTGATGTCCAGGCTCTGCTGGGTGACCGTGGGGCTCAGGGCCCGATCTGGCAGCCCGGTCCTGATAAATACGGCCGGCTGGACCGCCAACTGCAGAATGCCAACTCTCACTTCATAGAGGAGCAGCAGGGCCAGCAGCAGGTACGGGAACACCAAGGGACCGGCCAATGGCAGAGCTCTAAAATGTGACGCAATATCAATTCATATGCTGTGATACAAATCACGTGGATTCAAAGCGAGCACAAAATGTGTGTTTGCATCAGCTGATGGCCGAGCAGCAGGATGAGCAGCTGGAGCTCGTGTCGGGAACAATCGGAGTCCTGAAGAACATGTCGGAGAGGATTGGCATGGAGCTGGATGAACAGTCTGTGTAAGAACTGATACGGGGTTCGCTTCACGGGTTCTCCTCTACGTTTTAAATGCACCATCACGCACGTGTGTTTGCACTGGCTGCTGGGACTTTGTTAATGGGAGTTCTGGTGCTTGCCCTGGTTCCCCACAAAGATAACGGGACAGGAGGTTGATCCAAGTTGATTTTGAGTTTTTAAAAGGAAGTGGCTCACTGGCTGGCCCGCTCTCGGTGGTCTCCGATTGGTTCCTGACCTGGACTTGTTGACTCTCTTTGTGCTTTTCCTGCAGGATGCTGGATGACTTCACTCACGAGGTGGACAGCAGTCAGTCCAGACTGGACAACGTCATGAAGAAACTGGCCAAAGTGTCTCACATGACCAGCGGTAAAGTGTCTTAACTACTCATGAGGTCGTCCTCAGTGTTTCTGCTCGAGACAAAACCGATCAATGTAATAATAAATACGGCAGTAATTGGAGCATTTTACTGTTACTGATATTAATCGTTAGTTAGTGTATAGTTATTTCTCCGATAGTTGATATTCATTAACTTTCTGTCCTTCCTCAGATCCTGTTCAGTGGTGCGCTATCGGCATCTTGCTCTCAATCCTCTTCGTGGTCATCCTCCTCTTAATCATCCTGTGATTGATTCATCCTCCGGTCACCACAGAACTCGTCTTAAACCTGTGTTTATTGAGCTCTACTGAGCCTCACTGGACTCTACTGAACACCGTTTCCCACTATCAGACTCCATTGAGCCCTACGGAGGTTAAGTAAACGCTCCTGGGTGTTTCTGAACTACGATAGACTCTACTAAACTCTACTGGACTCACAGACAGACTTTCTGGACCACACTGTGTGTGTGAGACTCGACTGGACTCTTCAGGACTCTACTGGACTGACTTGGACTGACGTTGTTTGACTGTTGTTAAAATTGTTTCAAAGGTCAAAGCAGGTGGAAACATGTCTGATGTGTTTTAATGTTTCCTGTTTGTTGTATTTAAAGGGCTGAAAATAACCACTGAAAATAACCACAACAGTTCGATCCCATTAAATCACTAAAGTAACTCTAGTTTAACGTTAGTTTAACTCTAGATTTACTTCTTGAAGTTCTTGGATTGAAGTAAACGAGGGCCACGTTGAACAATACGAAGAATATCAAAAACTTCCTTGCAAAGCTCTCACACCGCTCGTGCAGTATAATCTCATTTATTCTCATTTTACCAGTTGTGTGCTGTGTTAATCCCAAACTCAAGCCTACTGGATAAAACGTATAAAAACACTCCAGAGCATACAGGTTTATTCTGTATTTTCTGTATTTAAACCCTGTTTGACTCTCAACTTGAATTCCATTTGAACTCTGTGTTAACATTTCTTTATTCCTGGTTTTATACAGGTTTAATCCTAGTTTATAAACAGTTTTTATCATGTTTAACCCTTAATTGAGTCACTTTAATCCTGGTTAAACTTCAGTTTAACTTTGATTAGTCTGAGGTTGGAGTTTGTTGCAAAACATTGTTAAACACTAAGATTTCCTGTTTGCGTTTACATTTAATATCGTTTAGTTTTACTGACTCTTTTTTTTTTATCTTTTAACGGTATATCTTACTTTATTTTGTGTTTGCGGTTCCTGAACCGATTGGTCAGGACATTCGAGATGAGTGGAATCTTCTCCTGTTTAAAATCACACACTTTGATGCTTCACAATAAAAGCATTTCCCAGATGAACCTCTGGAAGTCTTTTAATGTGAAGCCCCGAAGGTTAGCAGGCGAGTAACTTTTCTAAATTGTCTGTAATCATGTAACGGGTGTAGAACAAGGCAGACGATCCTCCCGCGCCATCAGACTCACGGTACACGTAGCGGTGAAAAATATCACGTCTGTTCCCTGTTAAGATTTTAATGAAATAAAACCAGTGTTCTCCAGAAAATAAAACTCAGATACAGATACTCTCACGTACACAGATTATAGACACACGTACCTGTGGGGTTTAATCTCTGTACTTCATTTTGATCTGTTTTAACTCTTCATAACAGTATTCAGTATTGTTTGTATGTCCTTTGAGATTTGATTATGAATTATTTTGGTGCTTTCACAGCCACTAATGTAGAAACTCATCCATCCATGTTTTTAGAGCTACATTTCTGAAACAAACAGTCCTAAATTATGAATAATGAAGATAACAACCAGTCTGTATTTTGCTGTAACATCCTGAATCCGAACAGAATGACTGAATTTGTGCTGAATGGAAGACATGTAGTTCAAAGTTAAACTGTTATTGTTCGATTTTATTAAACTATATCATTGACTGGTGAACAAAAACATCATCCGTCTTTCTTTATTATTTCATCTTTTGAGGATAATTTTGTTTCAATAAACTGATCCATAAAATAAAAGCAGTCTGTGATCTTTAAAATGTTCGCTGCCTGCTTTAAATGATTGAATATTTTCATGTCTATTCATTTATAAGGAGTATAAATAACTTTGCTTTATAACGTGCGTAACAACAACAATGTAACTGTATTTGGAAGCCCATTTAAGGGAAATACATTGTATAAAAAATATATTGTATATTTTTCTGTGATAAAGGGATGTGATTTAAATATAATATCCAGTAGTTTAGTATTTTTCTTTTATCTCTTATTCTCAATATTTTTATTCTAAAAAATAGCTTTTTTAGTTTTTTGAGAGAAATCAATCTTTTTCCAATAGTATTTCTTCCACAGATGAATACATGTACACATAAAGGGTAACTTTAATACAAACAGCTTGTGTCATCCTTTTACCTGTGAGAGAGTTAACAGGAAACAAGGAGCTTATCAACATAGAAAAACTGTACAGACACAGAAATACTGCAGAAGTTTAAATACTATATATGTTTATATAAGTCAACTGACAACAGCGCACTCATATTTTGTTGAAGAGAAAAACACAAGTTATAATATTTTAATATTAGTCACCTGACAGCAGGTCCCAAGAGAACAAAACACAAAGCAGAAACATCTTCGGACACTGAACTGAAAAAAGCACAATGTCCTTAAATAAAGGAAATCCTGAACTTATAGTCGGACAATCCAAACGTGAGGCGCTCTTCTCTTTTATTCATCTATTTATGTTTTCATATTTCTCTGTGGATTGGGAGCAGAAAACGCCACTGAAGCTCCAGTAGTTATCCACAAGACACAACACAACTCCCAACTGGCACAAAGCCACTTCCTCATCACATGGCACCTTGAACTTTGTCCTCTTGCAGAAACTCATGCTGGCGAGCACACTGCTAAATGTGACCCGACATGTCAGAATATCCTGTACTTGGACATACTGCATTTGGCATTCTACATATCGGGACATAATACATATTTTCTGGCAGACTAAATAATTGGTTAGTGTTGCTTTTAATGGTTTTAATGACAAATATTCATTAAGACTCATTCAAAGACTAACATCTGATAATGAAACTTCAAGTATACTTGAATCATTTGAACTGTGAATACTTAAACACCTTAATACTTGGATCGGTCCACCCAACTGCCTGAACTCAAATACTTGTACAACTTATTTAGCCGTTGACCTGAACTCTCTGAGGACAGAGGTTGTAGACTGGATTTCTGGGTTGATGAGGATGTCGATCAGCTGCGGAGACACGATGGCTTTGTCTTGAAACAGGAGCAGCTCACATGATTGGTGCAGGTGCAGTCGGGGGGCATCTCAGGGCAGGATTCGGGTGTTCGAGTGAGGCTCTGGTTGGACCAGATGCTTGCAGGTTTCATAAAAAGTATCTTGCAGTTTTCAGTAATGTGGAGTGAATCTTTGAGTCTAGTTGTCAAAGACAAGGTACGGTCACGTGACTACGCAGGGGCGGTGTTGTGGTGTCGGAGCAGCCGGATGGTGGCCGAGGGGCTCTCAGTCAGCATGTGGGTCACCTGGTCCAGACTGAGACAGGCTACCTTCTCCCCATTCACCTCCAGGATCTCATCTCCAACCGCCAGCAGGCCAGCGTACAACTTCTTAGTGCTGCTGTCCACCATGTCCTCCACGTAGACACCTACAGTACACATGAAAAGCAATGTGACGCTGTGCTGATACAAAATGCAGGATTAGTATCATCATTTTTAGGAAAGACAACTCTGATTCCAGGAGATCCAGAGTCATCAAATCTGTAGCAGTAGTACAATAAGCTTTAGCAGTAAAGCGAAATAAGAAAAACAACATTAATTGCTGTGTCAGTTAGGTTAGAGCAGCATCTCAGCGGCCCAAAGTGTTGGTTTAGGCTCTTAACCCATCGACATTACTATTTGTAGCATTCATAATATCCAAGTCAGCTGGTCTAAACCACCTAACGATGGCTGGTAGTATTAGTACTATTTATAGTAGTACTGGCAGTATTGGCAGTACCACAGAAAGGTAGTCCGCCTCCTTCCTTAGGAGCAGTATTAGTAGTATTTCCAGTATTGGCGGTACCGGAGTCAGGCCGTCCTCTCCCCCTGCTGATGATGAATCCATACATCTGGCTCTTCGGTCGGATGACCTCCAACAGAAACGTTCCGTCAGAACAAACGTCAAGAACCCGGCCGATGGAACGCACTAAAGAGGGACGACTGACGTCCTCGACACTGAGACACCTCTGCACCAACCTAGGAGACAGAGGGAGACACCAACGGTTGGAGGGATGGGTATCGGAGGGGACGTCCCGCAGAGATTATTGTGACATGGGACTGTCTTACTGGTCCGCGGCTGGTCGGTAGTCAGCGGAACGATCCGTCTTCTTTTTCTTCTGCTCCAACGCAAAGCTCTCAACTGACAACGACTTCCTCAACTGCGAGAAGGGGGAACCGTGCTGGACAGGGAGGACAAATTCAGCTCAAATAAGAAGAATACGGTCTGAATGAGGGAGTTAGTGAATGATTATGGTGATTCTGGAAGTACATTGATTAGAAATACCCTTTTCATACACATTAACACTTGTTTTCCTGTAACAAGACTGACCTGAATATTGAATTTATTTAAGGTTTGTCACTCAGAGGAGTTTCAAGATTGAAAAAGCCAACAGGAACCACGGCGACAACAACTGAGGTGGCACACGCTGAATGTATGAACGTATACTTGAAACATGTAAGAATAATATAATCTTAACCCTCACTGCAGAGATATTTTGGGAAGATGCAACCGCCCCAAGAAGTCCCATCATGTCGCATCCGCATGGAGCCTTGAAGGATCAGGTACCGAGTCGGCAATTAGCTCAGGTCTTTGCTTGAACACACGTCCCTCGAGGCTTCAGATGTGAGCTGTCAGCGATGCTGTCAAGATGCCAGTTCAGTACGTTTCCCCACAGAGCGCGGATACCCTCCACACTGTTGTTTGTTTATTAACAGCTTTTCAGAGAGTAACCACTGCAGGTATATTAAAACATGGTAATTAAAGGATCTTCTCACCGCTGCGGACGGTGTTTTCTTCAGCAGGCCCGGGGACTTCTTTGGCACCGGCGGGGTCGGGCTGGACGCTGAGGGGTCGGGCCGTGAGGCGAGCCGGTCGAGGCTGCCGGCTCGAGTCCTGCTCAGTCCGACGTTGGAAAAGAGACGACGCAGAGAAAGGCGGGAAGGTTGGTTTCTGCTGATGAGGCTGAAGGACAACAGGTGATCAGCCTCGGACAACAGCGTCTACTTACGAGTCCAAGTCAGTAAATGATGATGATGATGAGAAAAATGATTTTCAAGCACAGGCTTTTAGTTCCTTGCATAAACAGCAGAATTCTTTTGGGTCTTACAGTGTTTAAACAAGCTGGCCGTAAGTCGCATTGGAGAGATGATGCGGTGCAGTTTCCATGGCGACTAGTTTACATCAAAGTGTTTAGTCAGAGTGAGGACATCCGGCAGCAGACATCACACAGACTCAGTCGAAGTTAAAACTCACCATCCATCATCCTGTGGTCCCACCGGCTGTCGATCACAGCTGGTGCCGGACTTCGCCGGGGCTGTAAACCAATCAGAGGACCAGATGTTAGTTGTTACCTTTTCAGGTCAAATGTCATATCCTAACAAAAGCCAAGGGCCCTTGAGCAGCAGACGGAAGCCAACGCAGAGTTAAGAATGTACATGCTCACCCGCCGTCTCCTCGCTTCCCCCTGGGGAGGAGGAGGAGGAGGAGTTGCTCTTCATCCTGAGATCCAGACATCCCTCCTCTACAGAAGGGCTCTTCTCCTCCAGCTCTGCGCCACCCGCGCGCCGTCCGGCCGGCGGCTCCTTCTCTTCTTTGCCACGGCTCAGATTCTGCGATGCCTTTGTGCTGTCGGGCCGGATGTTTTGTGACATCAGCGATGATGTCACGGGAGCTGTTGATGATGTCACAGGAGTGGGAGAGAAGGAGCGTGGGTTGTCGGAGGTCTGCGTGGTCAGCTGATCGGGCGCGTAGGGGTTGATTGGCAGGTCAGTGGCGGGCGCAGCTCGAGGGGTGGACGTCTGGCTTCCCTCAAGTTTCACCTGACCGGCCGTCCTCCTCAAGTGGTGGTCCACAAACCGCCCGGCCCGGCCCCCCCTCCCAGCGACCTCACCAGGTGTGACAGAGCCGATGTAGGTCTCTCTGATGGGCTCAGTGCGCAGATTGAGGCGAGGCGCGGGCGGACTCCGCCCTGGGTCTCCAGGTGCAGGTGGGTACAGTCGGAGATTCAGGTTGACTCCGCCCCCTAAAACTGTTCCGCAGGCGTCCCACTGACCCGAGCCCCCCGAAGACGTCTGTCCTCTTTGCTTCCTGTCAACAACATGTCCTGCCCTGCCGTTGACGTACTGGTTGAGGTTCGGTTTTGAGACCAAGACACCCGTCGCTCTCTGTCCCCCACGTCTCCTCTGCCACTGTCGCTCCAGGTAGCGGCACTCCGCCTCCGTCTCCGTCTCGTCCTCAAACCGCAGACGGCGAGTCGTGGACGTCGCCGGCCGTCGCCTCGGAGACCTGGCGGCTGATTCGCCGCCGGAGGTGTGACCCGGGTGCCCCGAGGAAGAGGCCACACCCCCCAACCTCACCCGGATGACAGGATGCAACCTGACCCCCGACCTGTGGACAGAACCCCGTGAGAGGGGCGGCATCGTCAATGCAGCAGGACTGGGATCAGTTAACTGTGATGGAGGGACGGGGTCAGATGGAAAAAGGTGGAGTAAAAACATGAGAGCGAGACGGCTGTGGATCTTATTCAAAGGGACGTGGTTTGATGAAGAAACATTAAAAACATTAAAGATTTATTAGATTAGATTTATTTGTCAATTCATTCTATAAAGGACATATGGTTAGCAGCTCAATGTACATAAACAACAAGAGGAACACTGACAAAAACACAAAAATGTGTGAATTTATATTACATATTTTATTGAGCTGTCATGTCTTTGACTTTCAATCGCTGCTGTGTTTATTTGTTTGTTTGTGTTCATGTCTGACAGATTCTCTACGGAAAAATAATGAAGTGAAGAATTGAAGAAGTTACGGTATAAATAACGAACACCTGTGAACACCTGTTCACAAAGAGTGAACAGGTGTCACAAAGTATTTCAGGTCGGCTGCGATTGGTCCTGTTCTTCACTGACGGACACGTTTTTTTCAGTTTCTTAAGTTACTACGTAAATAAGTAGAAATTAACAAACAACGGTTTGTAAAAGATGCCATAACATAAACACACAAACGTAACTTGTGTGTGTTAATCATAGAGTTTGTAGGCCACTCAAGCAGAGTGTGTGTGTGTGTGTGTGTGTGTGCGTGTAACTCACAGAGAGTGTGTGTCGGGGGTCAGCAGCTTGTGGTCGGCTCTCAGAGGAACGCAGCGACGCTTCATACGAGCTCGGTCCTCAAACTGCTGCTGCCGCGGCAACGGAGACGACACAAAGAGACTGAACACACAGACGCAGGGCGTGGGGGAGGGAAGGGGGTGACATCGCCAGCTCTGATTGGTTGGTGTGACGGGGGAAGGAGGATTAAACTGAGCAGCTCGTCAGAACTAATTAACCTGACGAGACCACAGACAGTTTACATCAGCACTCGCTGCATAAGTGTCGCTTTGTGTGTGTGTTACACAGCCTTTGTTAGTGTTCATTTGCCTGTTTTACTTTGTGCCATTTGTCTGTTAGATGTGTGTGTGTGTGTTTGTCGTCCGTTTGTTTGTATCTCTGGTTGCTTTTGTCACTGAGAAGAATCCTTCAGTAAGAAAAGTCCTCTTGGAAAAACAACAAGATGGCCGACGGTTCATCGCGTTCTGATATTTAATTGATGAAATCTGTGAAAAATAGGAAGCCAAAACAGTCCAACTTTTACAACTTCAGACACCTGTGTCTACTAGTGATGTGTCGTTCGTGAACGATTCGTTCATTTCGAACGAATCCTTACAAGGACTCGAGAGTAACGAGTCCTCTCAAAGAAAGATTAGTTCATTTTCTCGTGGCCACGCATCAGGACTTATGCGAAGGCTCAATGAACGAATCGTTGACCCGAAGACACGGTCGGGAGAAGTAATTATTTTAATGCAGGAATTTATCTTACCACCCCGACATAAACGAATGACTCGAAAAAGGATCCGTTCATTTTACTAAACGAGATTCAAAGAACCGAGTCGGTAAAATGATCCGAACTTCCCATCACTAGTGTCTACCTGTGTCTCTTCTCTAAGCATTGCCTCTGTGCTGGACACCTGAGCTCTACCTGTGTCTCCTCCCAGTTGTTCTCTTCTCTTGCTCATTTGATTAAGGGGAACAGTGACCATAGAGTACATTCTCAATGCTTACAGACCCGCTTGGTTCTGTTACGCTCTGGCTGATATTACAGGTCATTTAGCAGACGCTTTTATCCAAAGCGACTTACATTACACTTTAAACCCATGGCTTTTGCCCGGGGAGCAATTAGGGGTTAGGGGACATTTCGACATGGAACATGGGGCAGCCTGGACTCGAACCACCAACCTTGTGCTTTCCAGCACACCTTCTCTAACCCCTGCGCCACGACGACCCCTTCATTCAAAACATTGATTAAAGATGGGAAAAAAATGAAATAAGTCAATATTTTCTAATGTACCCATCTAATATTATTATTTTTTGATTCAAGCTATTTTGACGAAAAATAGTAAAGGGATTTATGGGGGACGTTGGGATTACTGGTTTCCGGACATCGCGACCGTGTCCCGGATATGACGTAGCAGGGCTGACAGCGGACCGCCGCCGGTGCCCGCGTGTGCCTTTCGGATTTGTTTTGGTGGAGCCAACATGGCGGCCCCTCTCGAGGTGATCGTGACCAGCGACTCCGGCTCGCAGCTGTGGAACAGCACCGTGTTCGACCTGCACAGCGGCTCCAGCCTGCTGTCCTACCGGGGAGGGAACAGCGCCGCGCGGACACTGACCGTCCTCAACGGCGAGTACCTGCTGTCCGCGCAGCTGGGCAAGAACTTCATCAACATGTGGGAGATCCAGAGGAAGGTGAGGAACCGCAGCGGGACACACCTGCCGAACCCCGCGAGGAAAACACCTTTCACCGCGCGCACCGAGAGAGAGAGAGAGAGAGAGAGAGAGAGAGAGAGAGAGAGAGAGAGAGAGAGAGAGAGAGAGAGAGAGAGGCCGCGAAAACACAGGGCAACGCAAACCACCGGACTCCCTTCAAAAAAAGCCCCGAAATTAAAAACCATGCAGCTCACAAACGCAAGGTCGCATTTAGATGACATTTTCAGACTTCCCATCAACTAGTCGACTCTTCTGGTGAATTCGGCGTGTAAGAAATTCACCGAACTGCTTTTAAGTTTGTTTAAAACGGAGTTGTAATTAAGTCATCTGCGCTCGCTGCCGCCCCCCCCATCGTGTTTTGGTTAGAAAAAAGGACAAAGAACCATCAGCAACACCAGTGAAGGCTTGTTTGTTTTATTAACCGGTAACGTGCTGATCCGTGGGTTTTATCCCACGAGGAGGGAGGAAACTTGTTTTAGAAGTAATTCCACGTGGTTCTGATCTCAGCTGTCAATCAGCTGTAATACCTGCAGAGACCGTTTGTGTCTCCACTCATGATCACTGTGCGTAATAATATAAACTAAAAGAGCACTGCGGGAGACGTTATCACATATTTATACATTCTGTGGTATTTATACGCTCAGCTTTGTCCTGTTTGTAACACGTGATTTCTACCAGTTTGTTATATATGTAAATATTTTGTGTATATTTTAACAATCTGATTGGAAATGTTTGTTGAGTTATAATAATAATATAATAACTCCGCTCTCAAACTCTATTTGCGTCCTTTTCAGTCTACTTCTCTCTGAAATTTCAGAACTTCTGGTACTGATACATTCAATGTCAATGAAAGCAATCAGAAGGATTCACAAATAAAGCATTTTGCAATGTAGAAGGAAAACAAAGCTGCACTTCAAGCTGATTGGTGACTCAATCTGCTTCTTTTTTTGTTTCCTGTCTCTCCAGGACCAGCTGCAGCAGAAGATGGTTTGTCAAGGTCTCGTCAACTGTGTGACCGCCTCACGCAACGGGCTTTTCCTCTTGGCCGGAGTGGCGGAGACTGTTTACCTGTGGGAGGTGAGTCCGCTGCTGTGCTTTTTCTTCTTCTTGCTATTTTTGTCCTCCTGAGGTTCCTTTCCTTACGTTTCCTAAAGTTAGTGTCTAAACATCATTTTGGGGAAGACAAAAAACATGGTTCTCCTCCTGTTTGGTGCAGGTGTATTAAGTCTTTTCTGTGATGGTTTAGGTGTCCACAGGTAAGCTGCTGTCTGTCCTCAGTCGTCACTATCAGGACATCACCTGCCTGATGTTCACGGACGACAGCAGCCATTTTGTTTCTGGAGGAAAAGACAACCTCGCTGTGGTGTGGAGTATCTCCAGGTAACACACACACACACACACACACACACACACACACACACACACACACACACACCTGAGCTTTGCACGGGCAGGATGTGTAAAACTCTGAGTGGTTTTGTAAATCTCAGTTGAGCTGAAGACATAGAAGAAAGAAAGGTGTTCCATTTTACACAGTAAGCTAAAACAAAAGTACTGTAAATGATCAAAAAAAACAATGTGCAAATGTGCAGTTTAATGTAAGAATAAGAAGTTAAAACTACTTTTATTGTCATATATATATATATATATATATATATGCATATATATTATATAATTTGTTTGCATATAATGCACATGTGTATTAACAATATACACATTTATTTGTATATCTGGTGGATTTCATGTAACATGTTGAGAGATGTGGAAACTTTACTTTCATTTGCTTTGTTGTTGCATATCTGGAGAGTTTAACATAACGGGTCATTACAGATGTGGAGACTTTAATATAACGGGTCGTTACAGATGTTTGGAACCTGTGTTTGAAATCAAAGGTTCTGTTACTTAGTAAGATGTGATGCTCTGTTGTGTCCACGAGTTGGAGCTCTAACACTGACTGTAGGCAGGTGAGAAGCTTCGGTAACGTTGGTTCCCATGACAACACTTCTCCACTGAGTCAGTTATCTTCCCCCCCCAATATCTAACGCGGATGATTGTGAAGCAGGTTAGTTAAGACGATACCTTTTGTGATACTTTATTCTAACACTTTCTTGAGTAAAGGAACCTCTTTGATTAAGTTCTCACCCGGGACCTATATGTTTGACTTACAGCCCCTCCGACGAGTGAGCTCGTCCTTTCATACCGATTAGGTCCCTAATGCCCTTGGGGTGTGACTGGTACCTCTACGTATCAAGATATGGGCACTCACCGGTGTCTGCAGCTTTCGAAGCGGTGCTCTTGTCATTCAGCCCCTTGCAGGAGGCTCCTCAGTGGAAAGGAATCTCCCAGATACAAATGGTCTTTTGTTCCCCAAAGAGGAGAATTTTTATTTCTATAAAAAGCAAAAAGGTTTGCTTCCAACAGAAGCAATGTGCCTCACAGGTTTCGGTTGCGCCAATCGCAGTTTCGGTTGCGGGGACGAGATGCAGGTCGGTGCGTCCTGAGCTGACATCCGTTAGCTAGTTCGTGCGTCCTTTGCGGTACTAAATGCTTGTACAGGAAAACAGCTTTACATGTTGAACGGAAAACATTTGTTTTTGGTGCAAGCATTTTGGTTTTACACAGCATCAGCTTTTTATCAGGTTATACAACACTGGCACCAGTAACGGAGTGAGGATCAATTATTTTGATTAGCTTATTGCCCCTCTCCCGCCTCTGTCCCTATCAGGTCTCACAGATCTCGGTTCATTTCCATCCTCAAGCTCCATGAACCAAAAAAAGATCTGTCAATATTAATGTGTGCTTTCGTGTGTGTGTGTGTGTGTGTGTGTGTGTGTGTGTGTGTGTGTGTGTGTTTCAGTGTGATCCAGCTGGATTTAAGCCACACCCCTGAGCCGCGTCACGTCCTGTCCCGTCACTCTCTACCAATCACAGACTTGCACTGCGGCCTTATGGGAGCTCAGGCCAGAGTTGCCACCGCCTCCTTGGATCAAACTGTCAAGGTGAGACGGCGGTTGCGTCACCTGTGCAGGTACAAGAGTAGAGTTTACACACCGAGGTTACGTCACCTGAACAGGTACCATAGCTGTGACGACTTAACTCCACTAAAAGGTCCTTGAAATGAAAAGCTCACAGTGACCTTAAAAGCAAATCGACTCTTTGTATTTGTTTCCTGATCGGGAGTTTGATTTGTTCACCGTTTGTACACAACAAACAATCACACAAAGTGTCTTTCTCAGATAACGCAGTCAAATATTATGCGGATGAATAAAAGAGGGACGTTAGTTGGAGAAGCTGGATCCTCATCCTCGGCCCTTTAACACAAAGATGAACTGATTGGAATAGAATGCCACAACTGGCCACAACTCAATCTATATGCGAATATTAAAATGCTGATATTTGGTTGTTGAAGATATTTGGGAGTAAAAAGTGTGAAATACCCTCAATGGTCCATCATGTCTTTTGGCGTTGTCATGGTGACGTGACAAATAGCAGCAAAGTGCTGTCCCACTCGTGTTTACGCCGCCTGAAGCCCTTCCAGCCTTTCACACTCCACCACTTACCAGGTGACGTCAGCTCCCTGTTCAGGGTTTAGGGTCTGCGGGGGCGTTTGGGATTGGGCCTAAACTTTGAGGTGAAACGCTGACTCTCTTTTTTCCCTTAAGAGTCGGTGACTTCACGTTGCACCTGATTTTAACTCCTCCTCCACTTTAACTGTCAAACCTCGGCACCAGTCTGGTCGTCATGAACCTTAAGTCCTGAACCTTGATTCGGCTTTGAATGGTGTAACCACGGGTGGGACGGCACTTTGCTGCCACGTAATACGTCACTGTGACCACCGAAAGAAAATCTGATTTACAACTGAGCGCGTTTATTTCCTACTTCTTACTCCCTGATTCGAACGTCTTTTCCGGGCTCCAATTACAAAATAAGAAATATCTGATATTTCTGAAAAATCTTTTTCCGTGTGGGTTTTTTTGTTCCGTCTTTTAATCCTGGATGTTTTCTGGATAAATGTAACACGACAGGCAGAACAAACATGTCTCGTCCTCGCCTGCTGCCAGTGCCGTACAGAGATCTCAGCGGCGCGATACACTGATTTATTCGGGATTACGTCTAAGCTGCAATAGACATGACGTGTTGTCACATTAATACAATAAGTTTACTTACAATGGATTCAAGCCGTCCCTTTTTTTAATACGGTGCGACGGCGCCCTCGCTGATCGCCTCCGATCAGGGGGATTGATCGATTGGAAACACTGAGCGTATCTTCCTGTTTTTTTAATTTGGATAAAACCCCTCCGGCATAAATCACAGGAGGCGGAGTCTCGGTAATGACACGTCGCCCGGCTCCGACATAACGGATGGTCGCTGGGCGTCGAACGCAAGCGGAGGCGTCGCTCGCGCTCTAAATCACGACGTTCTTAAGTGGAGTCTGGAACTGTGTGGGCGGCCGAGGTCAAAGGTCAGCTGGCAGCCCTCTCACTCCCCGTCCTCATTGTCACACATCTCCCTACTTTTCTCTCTTTATTTACTAGTGAAGGCCACAATGCGGAATAACTAACAGTAACCGTAACCATGACAGTCGCCTGTTTGCTGATGTCTGAAACTAAAAACACAAGAACTGTGAAAAAATGCACGTGGTTCTTTGCGGTTTGGGTCCTGAGGATGACCAGGTTTGATTAGTTCCTGCAGTAGAGAATCTAAACTGTACTGAGAAGGTGTCTTAGTTTTTATATTTACACGTATATGTATTGTTTTTTAATGCCCTGCCATGTCTCCATATGTGCATTTTACCAAGCTGTCCCTGTCTGTCCTTTCCTTCCCACCAGGTGTGGGAGTTGTCCTCCGGCGAGCTGCTGCTGTCCGTCCTGTTTGATGTGGAGATCATGTCCGTGACCTTTGACCCCTGCGAGTACTTCCTGTTCTGTGGAGGCAGTGACGGGAACATCTTCCAGGTGTCTCTCTGCAGCCAGGTGGGTCTCGCTCTCTTTTCCATCCAAACACACGTTCACCCTACGAGCAAGTGCTGACCCATTTAACCCATTTGCTTTATTCTCCTTGTACATTTAAATCTGCATACTACCGTCACGCATGTACACGACCGCGTCCTCCCTCCTAGCAGCCTGCACACTGCGTCCTACGCTAAGGTCGCGTGTCCTTATCTCCTGCACGGTGAGATGTTTCATTTCGGGCTGAATAATCGTCTCTTCGCGGCCTCGCCGCTCGCCACGGAATTTATCTTTTAACTGGAAGTGAAGCGCTGAAGGTGTAAGCGTGGCTCATCAATCCGACTGTCCCGACTGCTCACTCTGCTTTTTAAGTAAACGTTGTCGAGAGGACTCTGTGTAATTCAGCGTGGCGGGGATCGATCCCGGAGAGAGTTTGGGTGTTGGTGAAGATGTTTTTTTGTTCCTCCTCCATTCATCGCCGTCGTGCCTTTTTCTTCTGCGGCCGACTCCCCGTTGTTCCCTTTCAAAGCAGATTTGCATGTTAACGCCGTACAGAGTTAATCCCCCTAACAAACCGTAAAAGTCTTCCCCCGTCAATCCTCCCCCTGAGAAGATGATTCGGTTTAAATCTCTGCTCTCTGGCTGAAGCCGACGGAGCTCTTTGTACCACGAACAGCCCTCAAAGTGAAAGAAACAGCCGGTGGAAGGAGGCGTTTGGCTTTAACCGGGGAAACGGGTCGGCCAGGTGTCCTCAGCGCAGGATTCATCCGCAGACGGTTTTTCTTGATTGATTTGTATAAAGTGACGTCTCGAGACGTCGTCCGTCGATGAATCCACTGAGGCTGTTGGGGTCGATTTTTTTTATTTTTATTTTTTAGAAGTATAAACTGTTTTCGTTTCGTCCGCAGAGTCTCAGTCGGGACAAAACGTTCCAGTCGGACAACGACGGGAACCAGGTCTTCAAAGGACACAGGTGAGACAACAGCGGGTGTTCAGCCAAAACCCATTTCTATTAGTCACATCTAAATGTTAATTTCTCATTTATTTACTGGTTAAAGCTGAGGATGGTACAAGAGTCACATAGATGACGTGTATTTTTTTTTCATTGCTTTAAATCCTCAAATTCTTTATAATTAGTGGGAGATTATTGATCTGACCTGAAGTCAGTTTAATTCTTACTAGATTTTTTTTTAACTGTCTCGCATTCAGGAACTTGGTGACGTGTCTGTCCGTGTCCATGGACGGGACTCTCCTCCTCTCCGGTTCACACGATGAGACGGCTCGTCTCTGGGACGTCCAGAGCAAACAGAGCATTCGCTGCCTCGCCCACAAAGGTAAGCCCCGCCCCCTTTTGGATGACTTCTCAATTGCAAAAAACATGAAACGGTTCATCTTCAGGTCAGGTGACCCCACCCCCCTCCAAGAGGAGATCAGACAGAAATCAATATATAACGGGGGGAATTGTGCTCAGAAGAAAAACATAAAACATGATTAGTGGCAAACATGATGTCAGTATCACAACATTACAAAGTGGTCAATGGGTAGAATCCCATTGAATCCCATTCTACCAACGGGTAGAATCTAGTGCTGTAGCTTATGGCGAAAAATCCATATCACGGTATTTAGAAAGATTCTGACAGTATATGACGGTATTGCTTTTTCAAGTCAACACATTCATTGACCCCGAAAAGGACCAAATACCCAAACTGCTGTTCGCTGTTCGCTCGCTCGCAACCTGCCGGCGAGTTAGCGCGTTAGCTAGGTAGCGTGTTAGCTTGTTGTGGCCGGTAGTGTTGTCACCAGAGACTCGACAGACGTTGGAATAAATCGTTTTCTGATCTAACATAACTTACGTCAGATTTTCCAAAACCAAAAACCCTGCAAACAGACGCAGCTCCTCTCTTGAGCACAAGTTGTGTTTGTGCATCTCTGGTCTCTCGTTGTTTTCGTGTAGCAACAGATAAATAAATCTATAGATCTATATATTTATAAATGTACAATTATTAGTGTTACAAATTGTTTGTGTCGTGGTGTTTTACCCTGTTAAAGAGTGTTTATTGTGGGTTGTTGTTATAACCATGACTCAATCTCAACACACGTAAAGACAAGTAGCTGCTGCCGCTTCGCCCTCCTGGATGACGTGCTGAAATAAGAGCAACCGCGCAGCCTTAGTAGAATCACACCAGTAAGAATCGTATTGTCACCCCGTCAGCTGCAACAATCATGACAATAAAAACTCCTCAAACTACTTCAAAATAAAAGCCTGCTAGCCCCTTCACACTAAAAGCCCTGCAGCTGCATCACTACTTCTGTGTTTTAATGACGTATTGATCTGCATCTATATTAATCATGAGTTCTGCAATTTTTCGATCTCTCTGTATTGGCGAGTTATTAATCTGTCGAACTGCATCCGTATGGACCTGAGAGGTGTAAAGAAGGTGTTTCCATCTTGGTTGATACTACAGAGATTATTATTATTCTACTACCTGCATAGAGCATCGGCACCTGACCCTCGCTACACAAAACAAAAGCCGTCTCGAGATTCAATTAAATTATCTTCATATTGCAATATTGAACGCTGTTGACCGTAGCAGATTTCTCATAAGCTGCGGGCCCTGTTATTGATCTTGATCGTGTGTACTGTGTAAGGCTGCTGGTGGGGGCACTAAGGACGCGTTGAACTGATTTAAATCCGACTCTCAGATGAGAGTCTCAGGAGATGAAGGTGATTTTAACCTCGGTAATTTGAAATGATTCCTCGTCTCTGCTGCTGGTTTATTAATGAAGCTTCTATCTTCTGACCCGTCATCTTCCGACTTTCTGGAGGAGCTTTTAGTTTCCCGTCTCATTCATAATGAGTGATCGTGTTGCATCTGACAGGAACACGGAGAAAGGAAACGCCCCGCCGCGATCATGACTGGCACTTTGTAATTAACCAAATCCTCTGTGCGCCGAAGGCCTCCTCACTTCAAACGTCTGTGTAGACGATAATCCCTCCTCCGTCCGGACGGAGGGACTCGTCGTCGTCCCCCGCCTCCGTCCCGTTTCTGCTTTTCTTCCTGCAGCCACTGACAAAGAACCAGACGTGTTAAAGCTTCATCTTCCTTGACCGCAGCTCTCCACCAGAATTAGCTTTACACATCTGTCCTGTTGGGAAAATACTATAATTTTACTAATATATATATTTTAGTTTTTTGTTTCTGTTTATTTTTTGGAAATTATCACAAAACAAGTGGAATAATTCTGATTCATGACAAAATACTATAATACAATTTGTCTTTTGGTGTATGGTATATTATGTTTTATCCTAATTATGTTTCACGTACAATCACAGATTACATCCAGAGTGAAACAGTTACCTCTGTGTGTGTCGAGTACTTCTCACCTCTGTATAAAAACTGTGGTTCAGTCAGAGTTCATGATGTTAAGAAGAAAACTGGGAAATGAACGATATGAATCCGTTCCAGTTGAATCAGTTCGTTTAACTGCCGCGCTGCACAGCTGAATGTTTCCGTCTCCTCGAGGCCGTCGAATCTCAGCACGTCAAAATCTCGCCGAATGTTATTAAGAAACGTCGGTCTGACGGCAGAACGACTCCGCTGGAGGCGTCGGAGGGACAGCTCTCCTCAACAGCTCTTCCTCCACCCAGGTGCAACAGTTCAGAGTAAACACTGAGTAGGTGTGGTGTGTTCAGGTGTAATAGTTCAGAGTAAACACTGAGTATGTGTGGTGTGTTCAGGTGTAATAGTTCAGAGTAAACACTGAGTAGGTGTGGTGTGTTCAGGTGTAATGGTTCAGAGTAAACACTGAGTAGGTGTGGTGTGTTCAGGTGCAACAGTTCAGAGTAAACACTGAGTAGGTGTGGTGTGTTCAGGTGCAACAGTTCAGAGTAAACACTGAGTAGGTGTGGTGTGTTCAGGTGTAATAGTTCAGTGTAAACACTGAGTAGGTGTGGTGTGTTCAGGTGAAACAGTTCAGTGTAAACACTGGGAAGGTGTGGTGTGTTCAGGTATAATTGTTCAGTGTAAACACTGAGTAGGTGTGGTGTGTTCAGGTGCAACAGTTCAGAGTAAACACTGAGTAGGTGTGGTGTGTTCAGGTGTAATAGTTCAGTGTAAACACTGAGTAGGTGTGGTGTGTTCAGGTGAAACAGTTCAGTGTAAACACTGGGAAGGTGTGGTGTGTTCAGGTATAATTGTTCAGTGTAAACACTGAGAAGGTGTGGTGTGTTCAGGTGCAACAGTTCAGTGTAAACACTGAGTATGTGTGGTGTGTTCAGGTGCAACAGTTCAGAGTAAATACTGAGTAGGCGTGGTGTGTTCAGGTGCAACAGTTTAGTGTAAACAGTATGTGTGTTGTGTTCAGGTGCAACAGTTCAGTGTAAACACTGAGTATGTGTGGTGTGTTCAGGTGCAACAGTTCAGTGTAAACACTGAGTATGTGTGGTGTGTTCAGGTGCAACAGTTCAGAGTAAATACTGAGTAGGCGTGGTGTGTTCAGGTGCAACAGTTTAGTGTAAACAGTATGTGTGTTGTGTTCAGGTGCAACAGTTCAGTGTAAACACTGAGTATGTGTGGTGTGTTCAGGTGCAACAGTTCAGAGTAAATACTGAGTAGGCGTGGTGTGTTCAGGTGCAACAGTTTAGTGTAAACAGTATGTGTGTTGTGTTCAGGTGCAACAGTTTAGTGTAAACAGTATGTGTGTTGTGTTCAGGTGCTTGCTGCTGGTGGGAGAGTCTCCTCGGACTATCTGCAGTGTGTTGGCATCTCTTCAGCCTCCGTCTGATGAATGGCTCCACGTTGGACCACTTTTGGACCATTAGTGGGATTCTATCGGAGCCAAGCGGCCGATCAATATTTGTAACTGAGCGGGAGATAATCAACCAGTTTCTATTAAAGGAATATACTTTCATTCTTCAGTGGAAAACTCTGCTTTTTATCAAAGTGCTCTTATCTAGAAGAAGAATAGAAACTTGACAACATCTTAATCCTACTTAAATCCCAGAGAGGACGTCCGTCCTCATTTAGCGGCGCGTCTCCCTGTGAATAATTCAGATCGTGTCGTCATGGCGATCGGAGCGGGCTTTCATTGACCCGGGCGGATGCTAATTTGGGGGGCGCGTCCTCAGCCTTCAGCTCCGTTCATGGTCTCATTTCGTTGTCGCTCCACATTTTTTCCCCCGCGAGTCTGAGCGCTAACGAGGCGGCTGCAGGTTGGCGGGGCGGTTGCCCCGCTCAAGGACACGCGGGCAGCAGACGTTTGACCTCTTTAATGCGTGACGTTAATGCTGACTCAAGAGATCTTTTAGACATTAACAACCGTCACACAACGTCCAGGTTTTTAACCAAAACACTGGTTTATACTATTTGAATTGACTTCTGCATTTATTTTATTAAAGCCCGCAAGAATCTTTGCATCTCTAATTCATCAATAGGGACATTTCCACTCTTGTACTCAGTCGCTACCTTAATTATTCTTTCCCGTAAACAACAGCCCTCCAGATAATAAAGCTGCGACGCTCCGGTGCTTTCACGGATCCTGGTGGATATGTGGCGGTTCTGTTGATTGATGGTGAAAAGGTAAAGCTCTGCTCTGCAGCGCCGCGAATCCAACCCGACGCGGCGCTTCCTGCCGCTGACACGCGCCTCCTCTGTTGTCCGGGTTTCATTTATTTTCACATTTAAAGATTGGTGTGATAACTCTGTGGCTCCAGGCGAGGCTGAATAATTCAGATTTCCTCTGTCGGGAGTCAGCAGGTAGTGCCTTGCTCGTGGTTTGACTCGTTCATCAAGATTCGTCTCACATCGGCAAGAATGTGGCGGGCGCGCGCGGCGGTCGCAGTCCAAAAAACGTGGCATCAGATGTGAGTCGACGCGCTGAAGTCGCAGCCGATTGTCTTCCCAATCAGACTGGGGTTTTTATTTTGAATCCTCGGCGGCGCCGCCGATGAGCGCCGCTCCCTTCAGTCATTACTGCGAACGGCTTCCTGTCGCCCGGCGTCAACGCGCCTCTTTGATTTTTTTTATTTTTTTTTTCCTCGGGGTAATCTGAGGGAAATTAATTTGTTAAAGTCCCCAGACAGGAAGTCTGAGTGACAGCGCAGCCGAGGAAACAAGAAGTGGCAACGCCGCTATCGGCTTACACTGCAGGGGGGGGGGGGCGGCGGAGTGTTTCCATGGAGGTCAGAGGTCGTCGCTCTCTGAGCGGCAGCGAATTGACTCACACAGCCTCCTTCTGATACGCCGCGCAGCAACAGACTGTTCTCGAGTCGGTGCGTTTGTGTGTTTTCATGTTGGGGGGCGGGGCTTCGGATGGATTTGTTATCGAGGCTTTTCCCTGAAGCCGGAGACGGGGATCCTCTGTTGACTTCATTTCTTTCGGAGGACGCGAATTCGGACCGAGACACTTGAGCCGGAGCAGCTTAAATATTTCACTTCAGAAGTCGGGGCGGCGTTAATATTTTACAGAGAATCCTTTAAAGGCACTCGGAGAACTCGGCGAAGAAGATGTCCGCCGTGTGATGTTTGAGCCGCGCTGTTCACTTTCATCGCTCGCTGTGATTCCGTGTTTAGTTTTGGCCTCCATTGATGTGGCCGTCCCGCAGGACGTCTTCCTCGTGTTCTTACTCGTGTTGCACGGTCTCGGTCCCGCCTCTAAGCTTTGGAGCCATTGATCCACATCATTTGAGAGGATATTTAGTATCCTTATACCGGCTCCTGTCATTACAAGCGGTTGTCATCCGTCATTAGTTTTACAGGGTGAACTATCTCAAATGGGTGGAACCATCTTAAAGGTAAAATTCAAACTATGTTGGGTGTGTTTATCTCCCGCGAGATCGTTAAGAAAGTGCACCGAGAGGCTCGTGATCACACTACTAGTTGAGAGACCAAGAGAGGTTACTGGTCATCTACACCAGTGGTTCTCAACTGGTCTGGCTCCGGGACCCACCAACACCCCTTAATCACAAGCCACGACCCAAATCGAGGAACATTCCCAACTTCTCAAATGTATTTAATGAAAATATAGTGCAGTTTGAACCTGAGATAGTGTGGAGACAGAATACGTATGCCAACACAAAAACAAGTTTAATGAAAAAACCAAACAGCCAGCTGTTAATTCTAATTTTTATTTTCCCAGGAAAAGGCCCGCGACCCATTAAAAATGACCAGTTGAGGATCACTGATCTACACCACTTCACACCCGGCGGTTTATGACTCCTGTCGATCAGTATTGATGAACTTGGAGTAGACCAGGGGGCGGAGCCTCAGGGCTCTGAAGTCCAGCAGGTGCTCTGCTGGATGCTAATGTAGCCGACGCTACGTGAGGGAATTAATAAATAATGTCGGGGCCGAACGCCCCCCCCCGATGTCCCCGGAGTCAAAAAAGCAGATATTCCACAGGAACGTCTCCATTCCCGCTGTGTTCACTCATTAATAACATTAAGAACGAGTAGCGGAATTATTTATGGCTGTTATGAGACCAAGAAGCCGCTTCACCGCCTCCTTTCACCAGAACAAACCCAGGAACTCCAGGAGCAGAGCTTCTTCCTCCTCTAGGAGCAGAGCTTCTCTTCTTCCTCCTCTAGGAGCAGAGCTTCTCTTCTTCCTCCTCTAGGAGCAGAGCTTCTCCACTTCCTCCTCTAGGAGCAGAGCTTCTTCCTCCTCTAGGAGCAGAGCTTCTTCCTCCTCTAGGAGCAGAGCTTCTTCCTCCTCTAGGAGCAGAGCTTCTCTTCTTCTTCCTCCTCCTCCAGGAGCAGAGCTTCTCTTCTTCTTCCTCCTCCTCCAGGAGCAGAGCTTCTCTTCTTCTTCCTCCTCCTCCAGGAGCAGAGCTTCTCTACTTCTTCCTCCTCCTCTAGGAGCAGAGCTTCTCTTCTTCTTCCTCCTCCTCTAGGAGCCGAGCTTCTCCTCTTCCTCCTCCTCTAGGAGCCGAGCTTCTCTTCTTCCTCCTCCAGGAGCAGAGCTTCTTCCTCCTCCTCTAGGAGCCGAGCTTCTCTTCTTCCTCCTCCAGGAGCAGAGCTTCTTCCTCCTCCTCTAGGAGCCGAGCTTCTCCTCTTCCTCCTCCTCTAGGAGCAGAGCTTCTCTTCTTCCTCCTCCAGGAGCAGAGCTTCTTCCTCCTCTAGGAGCAGAGCTTCTCCACTTCCTCCTCTAGGAGCAGAGCTTCTCCACTTCCTCCTCTAGGAGCAGAGCTTCTTCCTCCTCTAGGAGCAGAGCTTCTCTTCTTCCTCCTCCAGGAGCAGAGCTTCTCCTCTTCCTCCTCCAGGAGCAGAGCTTCTCCACTTCCTCTTCCAGGAGCAGAGCTTCTCCACTTCCTCTTCCAGGAGCAGAGCTTCTCCACATCCTCTTCCAGGAGCAGAGCTTCTCCTCTTCCTCTTCCAGGAGCAGAGCTTCTCTTCTTCTTCCTCCTCCTCCAGGAGCAGAGCTTCTCTTCTTCTTCCTCCTCCTCTAGGAGCAGAGCTTCTCCTTTTTCATTCAGCAATTTAGTTTTTTGTAGATTGGTTAAAACTGTGAACAGAAAATTAACTTTCTGGATTTTTTCATTGGAAAGCTTAGAGGCGTTGATGTGATTTCACATATCGTTTAGTTTGGAAGCGAACTGTCTTATTTTCATCAGTGACTCATTCTTCAAGTCGGTTAATTGAACGAGCTTATGTTCCAGTCTGGGATCAGTGCGACATTAAGCTCTGACCTCTTCAAGGGAGCATCGGCTACGGAACGCCAAACCAGCAGGCCGAGGATATTCGGGCGACGCCGCTAAACCGACAACGATGGCAAACGTCTCGAACTCCGTTCGCCCACTTAGTGAACAACGCTGCAGGATTTCCCAGTCGCTCTCACAGCTGCAGCTTTCAGGTCATTTCGGGCTGTGAACACTTTGATCTGCTCACCGCCACCCGCGGGCTACACGCTCCTCCTCCTCCTCCTCCTGATGATGTCACAGCTCTGCCGACAGCTCATTGGTCCGTTCGCCAGATGTAACTGTCAATCAATCAAAGTGAATCCCGATGAATAATTTAGGTGTTTGTCAATAAAACCTCCCTCTTGATCTCAGGCTTTTTATTTTTCTGTCTTCCGTCAAAGTGGATCATCAAAACAAAACATCTGAAGGCACTGAACAAATAATTAATCAGCGCATGAATCAATAATGGAAGGAATCACCAGTTGCAGACTCCATTTTTACGATTCTCTGCTGACGTCCCTCCCATTAGTCTCCGTAGTTGCAGTGGAACAACATCCACACTCCTGTCACCTGCAGCCCTCTGACATCACTTCCTGTCTTTGTGTGTTCAGGTCCGGTGACGAACGCCGTCATCATGGCGGCTCCGGCTAACATGTTTCTGCCCGACAGCCGGCCCGGCGTCCCCCTGCCGCGCTTCAGCCGGCACCTGCACACCTCCGAGGGCGGCGACTCGGGAGAGGTGTGCGTCCGCCTGGGACTCTACACGCAGGCGAGTCGGGTGACGCGCTGAGCCGGGCGTCCGTGGCGTCGCGATCGCCGCTTCTTTTTGCAAGCGGAGCTCAGTTGGAAAAGACGCATGAGAAGGTTTTCACAGGAACTCTTATTTTGAAATGTTCTTCCTGTGTTTTCAGGAAGAGGAGCAGACGTACCTGCAGAAAGCTGAAAGGCTGAACAATTTGATGAACGCTGTGACTGACAAGGTGAGAGGGGGGCGGGGCCTCGGGTGTGCTGCTAGCGATTTTAGCTTCCTAGCTGGAGTTTTAGTTTGCGATGGTTTATTTGAGGGCTGTTTTAAGTGTTATCTGTCTCTTTAAAACCTCGTGGTCGCTGACTCGCCTTCATCTGCCTTCTGTCAGAGCGCGACGACTCAGATGTTTTAGTCAGAGGTCAAAGGTCGGAGGCCGTAAACAAACTAAATGTCAGGAGACAAGAAATGAAAATGTCAGAGCCCAAAAAACGCGAGAGGACGCAGAATGTCCAATCGCTTAAATGACTTGATAATTAGTCCTCGACATTCAGGCGTTGTCTTTGTTAGCCCTCGTTGTGTATCGTCTCTCGTACTGTGATCCAGGTGCATAATTCTATTGTGTTTATCATTCTACTCACATGACCCGTATCGATCACCTGTCGATCTCTCGAGGTCACGCCCTTTGTTTTCCCATTGGCGGGCGTCCAGAGGACGGGGGGCGTCGCGTGCCTGTAGATCGCATAATTCCGTAAATGTCCGCCCCTCTTTGTCTTCACACCCGCTGACGACGCGTTTCCATCCGTCTGTGTGCTTCAGTCGGTGTTCGGGGACGGAGAGAACACGAAGGTCCGAGTGGCGGAGCTCGAAGAGGAAGTTCAGACTCTGAAGAAAGTCAACAAAGATCTGTACGACTTCTCCAGCCAGCTGCTCACCAAACCCACATAAACACACACGAGCACGCACACCTCACACACACAAACACACAATCTGTGATGATTTTTGTTGTCGGAAAATAAAAGTGTTTTTGTTTTTTTGTAGAACTTGTTGTCCTTCTTGATGCGGCCTTGCTTGAGCTCACTGCACCTCACCGTCCTTTCCTAAATCCTCATCATCTGTCCTTCACACCTTTCCTCGTTTCCGCTTCCAGGTCGAGTAAAGTGATTAAAGGTAAAGGTGCGAGTAGGTCATTTTTTCGTCAGCGGACCCCCGGACCTCAATTAACCCCGACTGGTGTTTGTGTTAAAGGATTTTTACAAGTAAACCCTCAGTGAAAGTACAATGACACAAGCGTCATTCCGGGTTCAAGCCCCTTTTTTTTTTTTCTTCCCTCGATCAACTAAAAACGTCCGGCAGCAGCGAGTTTCAGGCTTCACAAAGCGGAGCGGAGTCACTGCAGCTAATTTAGTTCTGTCTGGAGAACGGAAACCAATCTCACGCCTGCTAATACGCAACACTTCTCCCTGCGATTAAAACTGATTTCTATTGTTCGGGTTTGAAGACGAAACCGTTTGAGCTTTTCTCTACAGAACTACAAATACTAAAACTTACTGAAACTGCCACACTCCTTTTCATCCTTGCACCTTTTTATCAGACCAAAAAGCTTCAGTCATCCAACTTTTTACTTGTGAAAGTGGGTCAGTGATGCGTGTTCACACAAAAAGGGCACATATGTGGTGCAATAGATAATAATCTCTAATCCAAATCAAAGAAATAAACAGAAATATGTAAAAACTCCTTCAACTCACCTCCTTCCTGTTCTTCTGATCCTCCTTTCACATGTTAATGTGATGTTGATTGGGGGGATATTGCTTTATTATACAGTGTTACTTTAATTTTTTTTTTATTTAAATCAAACATTCTCCTAAATTCAAGTGTTTGCTGTCACGTAGAGGAACATTTTATTAATGTTGTATTTGTGTAAATCGTCTTGAACACGCGCGGGGGAGAAAGGGACATAAAGCAGCTCTGGATTTAGATGAATTGTTACATTCGTTCGTAACGTTTGCCTTTGTGTGCTTGTTTGTGTTGTATCACACCCTGATGTGTGTCTTTAACCCCGAGCGAGCGGTTGTGCGTCGTCTCTTTGGTTTCGTATCACTGAGGGAAACTGGACAAGGATGGATCTTCCGACCGTGAGATTAAATGACGACCGGCTCGGCCAGTATGAACACGAGGCCCAAAGCTCCAACCTGAACCTGCGCTCTGTCCTTTGAAGGAATCGAGGACGAAATGTCTTCATAACGCTAAACTGTCCTCACAGAGATACAGATAATCCAGCCAACACACACGCGAGAGGCCTCCTTCCCTCCTGCATTAACTAAATAATAACTTCACATTATGACAACAATTATCAAGAATTAAATTAAGCTTCTGCTGTAAAATTAGGTAAATGTTACATTTTAAATGAGACGACAAATGTAATGCGAGTATGAATATTCATCAGTTTTTGTCGTTGAATAATATGATTTTGTCATGAGTTCAGTTTAACCCTCAAGTCCTTAAATGAAATATCTCTTATCTTTGGATTTTCCCTTCAGGTATCAATGTTACTGGAATTATGTGAAAACAACAGTTTGATTATTATTACGCTATGGTATTCTATCATCTATGTCATTACTATGTTATTATTATTGTAATATAACTACGTCTTGCTATAATTATCCCATCCGTTACATTACAACCACAAAGTATCCGAAACGCTTCATCCTTCATCCTTGAATATAAATGTAACTTCTTTATTTCACATTAAATGTCTCCATGCGTGACTTTGGCTAAATGTCACTGAACTGTTCTCGCAACTCAGAGGAGGAGGAAGAGGAGGTGAAGGAGAAAAAGGGAGGAGGAGGAAGAGCAGAGGAGGAGCCACCGTGATGGGTCAGTGAAGATCTGCCTGCAGGGGGTGATGAATCAGGAAGGCCTGCAAATGTCAAAAGAGCTTCAGATTCAGGTGAAACATCAGCGAAACTATTCAGGTGTGGTTTCATATGAATTAATTACAAGTTCGTCGTTGCATTATTATAGAATAACAAAACTTATCACAAATGAAATGCTTGTTTGTTGTGTTTCTTGCACGTTTCACATCCAGCTCTCTACACACACCTTCTAGTCCGTTATCGCAGCGCTTGCGAGTCTTCTGGTAGTTACCAAAGACTTCAAGCTACATTTATGGGGAAGAGATGGACAACGTTGATGAAGGGAGAGTAGAGGGTTAAGTTCCTCCGTTGAAGAGCGGGAGGAGCCCAGGGATGAGGGCTAAGCTGAGCCAGCTCCACCAGGTCCTTACACCACCCGGCTCTCGATGGGCCCGACTGCTGTAGCGAATTCAAGCCGACTTCGGGTTTTCTTTGCAAAAACAAGCCCTTTTTACACAGAGACTGCGTTTAGTGACTGAGTGGCACGTGTTTGGCGCCAGCTGGCCGGCAACACGGTGGGGAAAAAAAAAAACGTTGGCAGGTGAGAGACTCGCCGCCGTCTGAGCCTTGATCAGGTCCCAAGAAAACCCACAGACTGACAGTTGTTTTTCCTCCTGCCTGGACTTCCGCTCTGCAGCCGGTTATCATGCCAGCACCTCCACTTCAGTGTAGAGCCCCGGAGCCCCCCAGGGCCCCGTGCTGGGCCCCCCCTCCGATCAAGCTGTACGCCCACCACTGCTGCTGCAAACGCGCTGAGAAGTTCGCAGGTGGCACCAACGTCACGATGACAGATCAAGTCGAGCTCAGAAACCCCCCCCCCACTGCCAAACGTCAGTGAAACCAAGAATGTGAGAAGAAGAATCAGACTCGGGGGGATGGACTGTACTTCTAGAGGAAACTTGTTGTTGACTTTTCTAGAGAAGCAGTTGAAAACCTCCTGACTGGAAACATTAGAAGCTGTGATTGACAGAGCTGATTGAAACCAGAATTCCTTCTACCGAGGAGCCAGAAGAGGAGCCAGAAGAGCTAAACGACACGCAAAGAAAGAGGCCGCAGATCGCCCGATTTACCACCAGACTTCAGATCGCCGTCTTTCGTCCGACCGAGACGCTCACAAAGTCGTCCCCCACGCACATATATTATGGTCTGTTGTTGTTGCTCTGTCACATAATGGGACCGTAAAACTGCGTTTAAACACACTGACACACAATCACTTAAATGCGTGTGTGAGAGATGATTCCAAGTCAGTTTGTTGCAACATCTTTGCGTTAAATCTGAGGATCACACTGTTTGTATGATTCTATTTTTCTAATTAATTTTTGATTTGAGCTTTTTCACTTTCTCTCAATGAGATTTGGTTTGGGACTATTTACGGTGTATGTACCGTGTGTGTGTGTATGTACCGTGTGTGTGTGTGTGTGTGTGTGTGTGTGTGTGTGTGTGTGTGTTATGCAACGTCGGCCCGGCTCTCAGCTCTGATGTTCTGACGATGACGAATCAAAACCTCACGGTGGAAATCTTAGCTGGATTCTCCCCCAAAAATCCTCTGCGACAGTGAAATCCCCTGCTGTCAAATACTAATGGAATGATACTTCTGTAGTATTTCCCTGGTATTACTGTGGTATTTCCGTGTTGCTCTTGCAGTACTGCTGTGACGCTCCAGCAAACCTTTCGGTTCACAATATCTTTTTTTCTTACGTTCCACAATGCAGCGGTTGCTCTATGCACGCTTGTCAGACATCTAATAGGCTCAGGGGTTTATGCACTTATTGCTTTCAAATCTTTTCACTTTAAATTGAAGGACGTACTTTCGAAATACTAACGAAGCAATCGTGGAGTTTCTGAAAATGAATTGAGTTCGTGCTGAAATCAATCCCTCAAAGGAAATGATTGCGTATATTATATATATAATATCCAGTTGAAGCTCTCGGCTGCTGACCTAGTTTTCCTTGACGTGTGAGTCTGTGCGTTTTATTTTAAATTGGAATCAAATGCTGTTCTATTGGTTTGGAATCACACGAGTCGATATGATGCGCGAGGCCGCGTTTGCGATGACGTGCTGCGGCCCGGCGGCCATGTTGTTCCTCGGTGGGTAAACAAACGCGGTGCGGAGACGCAGACTTCTCTGTGGTGCAATTCTGAACTGATTCTTATTGAACGTAATTTTCTTTTTTGCAATCGTGAGAAAATTATTCTGGTTGTTTTATTGAAGTTGGTAAAAATACAATTCTGACAAACGTGCGAATGTGGTGAAGATGCGAGTAGCGGAACATTATGTCTCATATTGTGTGCGTCAGGGACCCAACTGTTAATTGAAAAGACCTTATTTATTCCAGGCACAGCTGCTCCTCCGTTATTGGTTCTCCAGTAGTTCCGTTGGCTGACTTTTACTTTTGTTTGAGTGTTCCTCATTGCAGCACTGACGAAAACGAACCCAGAAGTGTAAGTGAAGAAGCCATGAAGGGAACAATATATAATGCATTTCAGACGCAATCACGTCGTTTGTGAGGAAACATCTGGTTCGGTCAAACTTGAACTAGAAGCTTCACTTGGAAACACTTTAGCTTCCTTCATGGGTTCATGGGTTCGGGCTCTGGATGCAGTGAAAGAATCGATCGTCTGTCTTCGGAGGATCAGGCAGCTGAGCTCAGAGCGACGGCGGACTGATAAAGATCTTCTCCCGACTTCAAAAGATTTGACTCAACGCTCACGTGACTTTATCAAACCGTCAGTCGGCCGCCGTCTTCTTCCCGCGCTCTCTTCTGCCCACAGATGTGTTTCCAGATGTGTGTGAGAGAATCGCTTTAACCCGCAAAGTCACGCTGCCGCGCTGCACAACGTCCGCTTTTTACATTTTATTGTTATTATTATTATTATTATTGTTAGCAGGACGAGGTCTTCATGGCAACAAGCAAGGGTTCAAGAACATTCCTGGAAAATCCTGTGATGTTCCACAAGTTATGACAAGAGACAATATCTTTTTATATCCTTCTTTTTTCTTTCTTTTGTCATTCTCCATTTCTAATATTTGCATATTACGTTCTGAATTTATTTACCATTTACTTATTTCATATCACTGAAACAATTGCTACATTTTATTTATTATTTGCTATTATTAGTTATGTGACATATCCTCATTTCTGTGCTATTTGTTCGATGTCTCGAAGCGGCGCCGCATTGAAGATCTGAAGTTTATTGACCTTCTACTAAAAGAACAAAGTGAACTTTGACTTTTCAACCTTGAATAACCTTCATTCAAAGCAAACCCACACGTGCGAAACGTGTTGCTCAGTGGGTTCCTCTCCTCCTTTCCTCTCCTATCACCGGCTCCTCTGCACCTCCTGTTTTGGGGAAGCCGCCTCCCCTCCCGTGTCCTCCTCCCCCCCCCTTGCGGTCTCCTCAGTCTCCCCTCTCGGTGTCTCGGAGCAGAAGGAGAAACCGGAGGAGCGGCAGAGCGATGCTGAGAGCGCAGCAGGATGTCTTTCACCTCCTCCTCCTCCTCCTCTCCCTCCTGGTCCCGGACTCTCCTCACCTTGCTCCTTTTGCACCTCCTGCCGCCGTGCCTCCTCCATCCGCAGCCGTGCCACCTCCTGGCTCAGATCGGACACACGGTGCGCGTCGGCGCGCTCCTCCCGGCGCAGCGGGGGGCTCGCGTTCAGGTCCAGGCGGCGCTGAGCCGCGCGGCGGCCGCGATGGACCGGGACCGGGACCGGGACAGGGACCGGGACAGGGACCCGAACCGGGAGCGGAACAACTTTCTTCCCTACAACTTGAGCCTGGAGCTTGTTTCCCGCCAGCCGGCCGCCGCGGACCCGGAGTCCCTGTTCCGGTGCGTGTGTCAGGGCGTGGTGGTGCAAGGAGTCTCCGCCGTGCTGGCCTTCCCGCAGAGCCGCGAGGAGCTGCTACAGGTGGACTTCATGGCCTCGTTCCTGGAGATCCCGTTCCTCAGCGTCATTGAGCACGGAGAGCCGCTCCGCACGCAGGTACGACCCCCCCGCCTCTCTGCGCACGAACCCACCCGCATCCGGTACCGGTTCCACCGCGGTCCTGGTCCTGGTCCCGGGTCGGTGGGTCTGTGTGGTCCGGTTTGACCTTGACCTGTTTGATATGTGGAGGTTCCTGTGACGTGGTGCGTAAAACCAGACAGTCGGCGGCGGAGAGCTGTTTGTTTGTTTGTTGATTTGTTTGTTTGTTTACCAGTGAACATTGTGAAATTCGGTTGATGTCTAAAAGACGTTTTTCACCACGATTTGAAAACCTTCTTTATCTGTGGTTTGAGTGACTTTATATGATCTTCCATATTGTGATTTTATTAATATTTCACATTTCATACTATAAGTGTGGAGCTTTAATCCGCATCTTCTCAACGAAAACAAACTAACCAACAACTTATTTTGAAATTCTTTTGAACTTCAAAACACTCACAGCGAACATTTATCAATTTAAATTAAGTCACAGTGACACACATCAACTGTCTCCACCTACAATACAAAGAAGATGACACATGCAACAATTAACATGTATTTAATAAACAAAAATATGTGTAATATAAGTATACAAACAGCGTTCTTGCTGTTGTCAAAGCAGGAGCTGAATTCAGAAGGTCCGCCATATTTCAAATGGATATGTGCAAATAAACTACTTAGTAGATTAATATTCACTCGCTGCCGTATTTCACGGGATTCACAGTCCCACAAATGTTTATTTTATATGGGAAATGGTCTAAAAACTCTATCTTGTATAACGTCGGGCTACGCTACAAGCTAGCGATGAGCACAAACTGAAGCTAACGGGGCAAAATTTGGATTGCATCGTTGGAATAATAAAGCAGTTTGAGTTGCTTCAAATGTAGTTGAAGAAGAGAGACAAATCATCCAGTTTTCCACTAAAAATCAACAATGAAATCCTGAGTGCTGCTCAGCGGGATGTTCTTTAAATACGGCTACGGATTGTCGAACGAAACCGGCTTTTCCTTCTTTAAATGTCATCGTCAAATCATCGACCCACAAATCAACATTTTCAAACAGATCTGGGTTTTGTGACATGTCGACGTTTCATAATAAAAACGGGGAAAAGCGTTTTTCTGCCGTATTGAAATCGACGATGAAATTGTGGTCTGTGCTCACTGGGCTGCTTCAGGCCTGAGACCTTTGAAGAGTGAGATGAGTGACGGGTGGAGTGAGAGCAGACGGGTGAGGGTGGAGGTCTCCTTTGCAGCTGGACGGAAGGACGGATGAGACGACGCTGTGGAGTCAAATGAGCTCCAGAGAACCTCTTTCATTTACAGTATGAAGCAGTTCTGCTTTCTTTTCACGTCTGAATTACACATTTTTTTGTCCCTAAACACCCCAGAATGTGCCAAACTTCCTCCCTGAGGCTTTCAAAGTAAAAGCTTGAGTGTTTGTTGATGAGATTATCTCTGCAGAGATTTTCATTTTCACGCTGAAAACAATCCAGTTAAAGCTGGTATCAGGTTTCCGTCTCCTTAATCCTGTTCATCAAGCTGCAGTTCAGAAATGGGACACCGGCACATTTAACCTGCTGATATTCACAGACGGGACTCTTCGTACAATCTGTATTTTGAGCTGAAGACACGTCGCTCATGAATAATTTAGGTGTCAACGCGACGTGTAGAACTGACCCGCTGCTGGTGTTTCCGTGTTCTGGAGGAACACCTTCGTCCTGCTGCTGCTTGTTGTTGACTTCAGAGATCCAGTGAAGGAGCTCGACATCTGCTCGGAGGTTCGGGGGCTCGGAGGCCTCGGCGAGGGGGGAGGTAGCCGCCGTTTGATGTTTACACAACAGATTCCTCTCGTCAGGTCGGAGACGATCGGCAACAGATTTTTATCCCCGTTCCTCCTCTTCGTCCTCGTCTCCTCGGTCACAGTCTTGCTGATTAAGACCTCTGAAATATGAATGAATGAGTTTGTTTCATCTTCTATGTGAATCCAAGCATGAATAGATCCTCTTAACACGTTTATACATACAAAATAAAATACTACAATAATAAAATACTATTATACACACTAGGATTAGAAGTAATAGATGGTCCTAATAAGCACCTGATAATACACTGATTATATGTATTAATTACATAATGACTGATGACTGAGGTTATAATACTGATCAGGTTCATTGATTAAAGCTGAAGCTGCTGTTGGTTTAAGAGGATTTAAAACACAATAACTCATTCCAATCAGACAATGTCTGATCAATAGGTAAACTGATATTGGTTTTATCAACATGACATTTCCCTCCCGGACGCATTTCCAGGCAGTGACGTGATCTCTGATCACTTCAGGTATCAATGACAAACAAAACCAGGGTTATGAATGAGTTCAAACATCTGGAAAATGTGATGCAAAGAGCTTCAACCTTTTTATTCACACATTTAGTCCTTTAACTGGTTTACAGTAGTTACATAACCTGGTGAGCTGGTCAAACCGGTTTTAACTAGTTCACATTGGCTGACGTGCTGGTTAAACCAGTTTAAACCGGTTTAAAGCTAGTTTGCGTTGCCTGGTGATTTGAAGCTGGATTGTAGAAATGAAAAAGGTGAGAGGTATAAAGAAGCCTCTCGCATTTCATTTCACTTCCCATCGCGCGTTACTTTGCACTTATATATTCTCTTTATCATCAGAGTTATTTAAGTGAGCCGTGGCTGGAAGCACATTTCAGTTATAAAAGATATAAACAAGCTGAAACCTCAAATCAAATTTTGCTTAATATTTTATCGGCGCTTTGCTCTCTTCTCACGGAAAGGCCGGACTACAGACTCCTGGTCAGCTGAAGAACTCATCACGGCTTTGAATTAACTTCAGCTGGTGTTAAAAACGTAGATTTGGTTGTTCAGATACGCAAAACATGTTGAATCATTGAACAGTTTTATTTGAATCTATGTTTCAGTTGGTGGTGGTTACACAAATATCTGTAGTTCAAATGATCTTTATAGCTGCAGGTAAACACTGGAGTAAAACTGTCCACTGTGACAGGTTATTGATTTCATTGACATTTCCTTGACAGAACTTTGTTTTAACTGCGAAAAAAAAAAGAATTATTTGAACTGTAAGGGGTTCCTGAAGTGAGAGGAAAGATGGACCCAGGAAAACCACAAAGGAATCCTCCATGTCTTTTAGCAAAGCACTCTTGGAACTGTGTTGGATGGAGTTGTAGCGGCCTGTGACCTCTGACCTTTTTTTAATAAGCAGAAAGCCGTGGTGACGTCATAATCTAGATTAACCGCCAGACGGAATCTTGTTAGGACTCCCGCGTCAGGAGACGTAATGAGCTGATAATAGCTGCCCACCATTTAGTCTCTGCAGGCCGATAAACACATCAGCCTGATCTCAGACCAGCTGGAGATCGCTTATTACACACACACACACACACACACACACACACACACACGAATACGCAAGGTCTGGACCAACATGTGTGACGCCATGTTCATGTCCTGTGGGACAAATGAGAATTAAAAGCTTCCAGTTTGTCATGAATTCAGTTCACGTTCATCAACACAAGCTCGGCTTCATTCAAAGATTTTCCTGCTACCACAGACACACACACACACACACACACACACACACACACACACACACACACACAGAGCCCTGAGCTGCCTTCAGGCTCTCAGACATTAGTGAGGAACATTTCCAACTGATAACCAAAATAAGACATATTTATATTCAGTATAAAACTTAAGTAGGTTACAGACGCCACTTGTATTTATTCCTGTAACATCGCACACAAACTGAATAACAACACACTCGGGTCTCTTTCAAGGTCGTCACTTCTGCTGCTGAGAAAACCACCAACTATCTTCTTGCACAGGATGGAAGTCGGGTTCGATTGTTCTTCACACCCGATCGTCCGTATTGATGATATTGTCAACGTGATGTGTTCTAATAATAATTATAATTCAGACTTCAAAATAAAACCATGTGTGAAAAAAGGTTTTTATCTTTTCCTAAATACAAATGAGTAGTTTCCTGGGGAGTCAGAATTTTATTTGGATTGTAAGTAAGACAAACAGAGGCGCGACATACAGCGGAGAACTGTATGCTATAAGCTAGCTGCTAGGCTAAGCTAGCTGCTAGGCTACTTCCATCTCAACATCTAACGTTACCCTGCAGTCTGCAGAGGACCACCACTGTGTCCCTAAAAGACGGTGGTGTGAAAACGTTCTGACTAAATGTGGGAGATTGTTGGCTCTTCAAACGCAGCCGTTAAATGATGGAGAGTTGAGAGCAAAGTGCACGAGGACAACAGGAAGAGTCGCTAGTTCAACATGATCCACCAGGTGGAATTCTGCCTCCAAGATGAAAAAATGTGTGTAGCTTTGTGTTTAAAATAACATTAACAATTAAACAACAGTGTGTAAAATACACGCTACTATTAAGATTTAGTCTTTAGAAGACAAACAAACATTCATTCAAAACAACATTGTAACAACATTCATTAATTGCGATTAATCGCGATTAATCCTTTTTCAAACTAAATTGAAAACTAATTAGTTTATTTTTTAATCTATTGACGGCCCTAATATTTACTTTTTATAAGATAACCCAAAAACCGTTGACGGGAAATTATTTAATTATGAATCAAAAATGACCTCCTAGGCCGTGTTTGTGTTCGTGACCTTGAACCTGAGCGTGTTGTACGTTGTGTACGTGAACAATAGTGTTTGTGAAGCCTCCTGTCATCGTTCAGCAGATTTTATCCATCACCACAAAAGCCCTCTTGAGTTTAAGGGTAAACAGTCGGCCTCCTCTTCATCAGCGATGATACTTAGCATCACATCTCCTCCCCAGAGAGCTCGGGAGTCTCTTCTTCTGTGTTTTGCTGTTTTGTCTCCAGTGTGAGATCCTCTGGCAGTGTCGACACATTCTGTCTCCCCCCTCGCCGCTTGTGTCGTCGCGTGGTTGTTGTGTTCTGGGTGTGAAATAAATCCAGTGTGACTCTGAGCTGCTGGGTTCTGCCTGAT